AGGGCCTGCTGGGTCAGGATGGGAAGGTGAGGGCTGGGGCTGCCCTGTCCCCCACGTCAGCCCGGCTGCTCCTCCCCCAGGCTGGGCCCCAACACCTCCCTCTGTCTCGCCCCTGAGCCCCTCACCGGCCCAGCCTGAGCCCCTGGGAGCCTGTGGCCCCTCCTCTGGCTCTGCCCAGCTCCCGGGGTGGAAGCCTATGCCTGAGTCCTTGAGGGGAATGGGATTCTCTGGGAGACTCAGGGCTGCCCTGGGGGAGGCCGTGCTCCCTCTGAGTCCAGAAGCCTCAGTGACTTACCACATGTGGAGGTGGGACCTGTTGTGGGGGAGCTGGGGCCTCCGGAGGGTTCTGGGTTAAAGAAAGAGAGAAGGCTGAGGAGCTGGGGCTTCCCTGAAGTCTCCACCTCAAACCAAATTTCTCTACATGGGGGCTGTGGTCTTCCCAGCCTCTCCCTCCACCCACCTCCCCTGTTCATGATGCTGGCGATGCCGCGGAGGGTGGGCATGCCTTCGGGGGAGCCGTTGTCCTCCTCCCCTCTGATGGGTGAGTCTCCCTCTGGCAGAGACCCCCGTCGCACCCCCACTCACTTCATCCCAGCCCAGAGCGCTCCTGGGGGCAAGGCCTGAGCTGAGCCTTTGGGCTCAGAGAGGACAGGGTCAGGGCCCTCACCTGAGACCACGAGCTCCAGGGGGTCACTGGGGACAGACAGCAGGTGGGGGTTGGAGCTGCGTGAGCCGTAGCACCTGTAGGTCCCCGCGTGGGCTGAGGTCACAGGACTCATGGGAAATTCAGCCTGGTACTTAGGATATTTGTGCATTGATCTTAGATGGAGGTGGGCATCAGCTGCTCCCGCCTGGGTCAGAAGGAAAGCGTGGAACTCCCACGAGGACTGACAGAGCAGGGTCACGTTCTCTCCTGAGACCACCTTGGGGCCCGGCTGCACTGAGAGGAAGGGTCTGCCACGGATCTGTCCTGGAGAGAAGAACGATGGGTGAGGGGCTGCCCCACCTGGTTCTGAGCTGACGCCTCTCCAGGCTTCTATCTGGGACCCTCAGTCTCTGTCTCTGTTTCCTCTGAGTCTCCCCCTCCCCACCCATCCCCTGTCTCTGTCTGTCTCTCTCTCCCTTGGGACCCCTGCCCCTCATCCCAGCCATCACCACCTGGGCTCCCCCAGCAGGGCCTGAGCAGAGCCTGGGTCCCTGACTGAACCCACTGGGCTCCTCACTTGAGATCAGGATGTCCAGGGGGTCACTGGGGGCCGACCACTCGGAGGAGAGGTTGTGTGCACCGTAGCATCTGTACTGGCCCCTGTGGGAGCGCCTCACAGGGCCCAGGAAGAAGTTGGCCTGGGAGAGCCCAGCCTGGCGCTGCCGACCAGGGCGCTGCAGGAAGTCGTCATCTCCCTCCTTGTACAGAGCAAATCTGTCATAGCCGGCATCAGAGCCACACTGCAGGGTCAGCTTATCCCCGAGGGCCACGACAGGACCCGGCTGCACTGAGAGTGACGGCTTCTTAGAAACGCCTGGGAAAAGGTGGTCACAGTTTCCAGGAGCGACCCTCAGGCTTCC